GGAAAAAAAAAAAAAAAAAAACCCACATACACACACACATCTTTATCTAAATGTTAGTTGATGGACATTTGGGCTGTTTCCAAGATTTAGCTATTATAAACTGTGTCACAATGAACATGGGTGTGCATATATCACTGTGGTATGGTGCTTTTAGTTCTTTCAGGAAGATACTAAGAACAGAAATAGCTGAGTCAAATGGCACCTCTACTTCTAGTTTTGTTTGTTTGGTACCGAGGATAGAACTCGGGTCCTGGTCCTCGCGCTTGCCAGGCAGGCGGTGGAACCACTGAGCTAAATCCCCGGCCCTGTAGTTCTAGTTTTTGAGGAATCTCCACCCTGATTTCCACAGTACTTGCATCAGTCTACATCCCCACCAACAATAGAGAAGGGTTCCCTTTTTCCCCACAGCCCCTCCAGCATTTGTTGCTGGTTGATTTCTTGATAGCAGCCATTCTTTCTGGAGTGAGATAGAAGCTCAGTGTTGCTTTAATTTACATCTCTCCAATGACCTGTGATGTTGAACTTCTTTTATATATTTATTTGCTGTATCTACTTCATCTGCAAAGTGTCTCTTCAATTCAGATGCCCATTTTTGGATCAGGTCTTTAATAAGATGAGGTCCCACTCCACTCATTGATTCTTTGTGGTACTTCCTGTGCAGTCTGGGTTTTGTTCATGAAGTCTTTGCCTACACCAATATCTTCAAGAGTTCTACCTATTCTGTCTCCCAGCAGATGTGGTGTTTCTGTTTTAATATTTAAATCTTTGATCCATTTTGATTTAAGTTTAGTGCACAGTGAATGATAGGGGTCTAGTTTCAGTCTTAGGTATGTGGAAAGCCAGTTTTTCCAGCACCATTTATTAAAGAAGCTATCTTTCTTACAGTGAAGGTATTTGACTCCACTGTCAAAGATAAGGTGGCCGAGTTTGTCTGGAGTTGTTTCTGCATCATCTAATCTGTCCCTTTTATCTTTGAGGGTTTTTTTTCCTTCTTTCTTTCTTTCTTTTTTCTTTGCCAATACCATTTTGTGTTGTTGTATTTGTTTGGGGGTTGTTTTGGTGCTGGGAATCAAACTCAAGACCTTGTGCTTGTGAGGCAGGTGTGGGACCACTGAGCTAAGTCCCTGGCCCAGCACTGTGCTGTTTTTATCACAGCAGCTTTGTAGTATAATTTCAAGTTGGGGATTATGATGCCCTCTGCCTTGCCTTTGTTGCCCAGAATTGCTTTTGCTATTCTAGGTCCTTCTGGTTCCGAATGAATTTTAGGAATTTTTTTTTTTTTTTTAATTCTGTGAGGTATGCTTTTAGGAATGTCTGTGAGGTATGTTTTGATTGGGATTGCATTAAATCTGTATAACAGTTTTGGAAATATGGCCATTTTCACTATATTGGTTCTTCCTATCTAAAAACAAGGGATATCTTTCCATTTTCTGATATTTTCTTTGATATCTTTTT